TTCATCTTATCATTTAAATTGTGAGAATTCTTCATAGTGAAAATCAATAATAATTTCAAATTATATCACTTAATGTGATGAAAATTAAAAATACTTGAAATATTATTAATTCATAATGAATGTAGTACATATTAATTAATATATTTTTAAAATGTTATATAACATTTAAAAGAATTTCAAATATTAGATATTTAATTAATGACCTTGTATGAAAAATAATATGTTAATTACAAAATAATAGAAATAAAGTATAACTTTTAGGAATCCCATAGTGTAAGGAGCAAATTACATCTTATCCCTACTCTTTTTCAATTTACAAAAATCCCTTAAAATTGTTGCCATCCAGATACATCTTATTCTTCACATTTGATACATTATATAACTAGTTTGTTGAGATTAAAAAGAAAATAAAATATGAAATTAAATGTCAATTCCCCAAATCATGCAAATCAAATTGATATCAATCTCTTCCACATAACATCTCCAACAATTCAAATTTCAAATTTTCTTCTCTCAAATCTCTCCAAATCGTAACAGATTCAAAAAAAAAAGTCGACAATTTTATATAGTTATGTATCATATACAAAAAAAACTATGAATATGATATGCACTAATTTATTTATAAAACAGTATTGCAGATACTTAACAACATGTGGTATCATAACATCTGATACATAATTATGTTGTATACATAACAAAGTTATGTGCCATATACATAACTATGAATATGATACAAACTAATTTTGTTATCAAACATTAGTGTTTATGTATCAACTGTAAAATTTGATAGTGTCTACCTATATATAGCCTTCTACTAGTTGAATACGGCTGGGTGTATGTATCGGTAGTAAAAGATAACGAAATTTGTAATATTTGTGTATTCAATACATAACTATGAACATGATACATACTAATTTGTGTTTCAATAAATTAGGGTTATGTATCAAAACTAATATTTGAAAATGATATATTGTACATGATAAAATTGTAATGTATCATAAAGGTGAAACAAACAAATTATGCATTAATTTTTAAAGGGAAAAAGGACAAATATACCCCTGAACTATCGTAAATGGTATCTAAATACCCTCCGTTATACTTTTAGGACTCTCATGTCCTTGCCGTCCAAAATTTGGAACGTATGTACCCTTTCTACTAACGGCGGAACACGTGTCTCAATCTAGAATGCCTATCCGAAATTTATTAAATTTTGACCCATAATTTTGAAGACCCGCCCAAAATAATTTTAAAACCCACCCAAATAAGATAATACCCACCCCAAATTATAACCCAAAAACACTTCTCCATCTTCTGTAGATTTCTCCAATTTCTCAAAGAACTTCCGGCCAAGTTCTTCATTTTTCAAGCTCCAATAAATTAAAAGCTTCAATTTCCTTCCCCACCAAAACACTAGAGCACCCCATTCGCATTCCCAAACTCCATCAGCACCGAGCAACTTTCGCTCGTCTTTTTGCCGCCGTCAAAGCATCGGAGGAGGTAGTCCCGCTGCCGTCGTCGCCGTTCTGGTAGAGCAACAACAGATGCTCCAGTTGTGGATGAGGTGAAAACGGAATTTGACGTAATACTCAATGATTTTTCAAGTAATGCTAAAATTTTGTATCTCACACTTTTCAACTGATCGGGAGAGGCAGCGATTTGGGTGATGAGTGGATACTCGAACTTCACACTACTGAAACTTCCACTTGATACTCAAACCAATGATTGCTTCTGCAAAAACAATAATCTGAAGAAAAACATCACTCAAATGCTAAAATACAATTGAAAATGTGTCATGAAAAGCTAAGAAAAAGAGAGGCATTGAAGAGGCAATGGTTTTCATTGAAGAAGATGAAATTGGAAAAGATTTCACTGAAGAAGAAGTGATTAATAGATGAAAGAGGCAATGGCTGTTGTTACCTTCTTTTTTTTTTTCTTTTTTTCATTTGGGTTAGTTGGTAGATTATAATTTTTCGTTTAGGTCAGTCTGTGGTTTATAATTTGGGTCGGGTGTTTAAATTATTCGGGTCACGGGTAATTTTTGGGTTAAAAATTAAATAATTTTAGGTGGGACATTGAGATGATGCCACGTGTCTCGCCGACTATCAGAAGGGTATATACGTTCCAAATTTTGGACAGCAAGGACATGAGAGTCCTAAAAGTATAACGGAGGGTATTTAGATATCATTTACGATAGTTCGGGGGTATATTTATCCTTTTTCCCATTTAAAAATCAAAATTAACTAGATACACTGAAAGATCTGAATCCATATGTATCAGAAAAAGATTGAACGACAAAAATTGGAAAAAAAGTTAACAATTTGATTTGCTGAAAGCAAAAAAAATAATGAAGAAATCCTTCTGCACTTTCTCTTTTGTTCTGTATCAATTCCCGTAGCTTTTCTTTTCACTTTCAACAATGGCGTCACCCATGGATCTCGACCCAAAGCCCTTACTCTCGCAAAATGAATCTTGTTCTCTTTCCTCAATATTATATTATTATTTCCATTTCATTTTTATTTCCTTATTTCATAATATAAATCTTTTTTTTAATATTAAGTTTTTCATCTTATCATTTAAATTGTGATAATTCTTCATAGTGAAAATCAATAATAATTTCAAATTATATCACTTAATGTGATGAAAATTAAAAAATACTTGAAATATTATTAATTCGGAATGAAAGTAGTATATATTAATTAATATATTTTTAAAATGTTATATAACATTTAAAAGAATATTAAATATTTAATTAATGACCTTATATGAAAAATAATATGTTAATTACAAAATAATTGAAATAATAGTATAATATTCAAAAAGTGAAATAGAGATTATGAATAGTAGTTCTCTAAATTTGGAGAAATATTATTCAACACTCTATAATTGGAGAGCAAAAGGGGGAAATAGATAGGAATTGGAGAAGATATTCTCTATTTTACTTTTCAAATATAAAGAATAGAGAATAAAAAATAGAGAGGAGTTGAGATGATCTTACCTTCTTCCTAGAAAATGGCAAAAAAGAAAAGTAAATATAACAATTAAATGAATATATCTTTCAGTAATTACACATTTTTAAAATAAAAAAGAGAGGCATTGTGAAACTGTGTTTGTCTCCAGGCATGTGCTCATCTGAACCCTTTAAAAGCAGATGAGATTTACTATTCTATGTGATAATTAGGGGTGTACATGATCGGGTTGATTTGAGTTTTTAAATATCAAATTAAATTATTTGTGTCAGATTTTTAAATCTATAAATCAAACAAAATCAATAAAATTTGGGTTTTTTCGGATTTTCGAGTTTTTTCGGTAAAGTATTCATACAAACATATAATTTACTTGTACTTCAAATATTTTTTAGTCCTACCAAATATAACTATCTAAGGTGTTTCTTAAGAAAATAACACAAAATATGATATGAGTAATGACACTAAAATATCCAACAAAAAAATAATAATAATGAAATAGCGTAAAACAAATATTGTAAATTAACAAGTCATAATGAAAATTATCATAATTTAAAAGTACTAAAACATGTTAAAATAAGTTTAAAGGAAATTAGTTACATGACTAAATATTAAAGGAAATTAAAACTAGATTATGTATTTGAATTGTCTAAACCAATGTAAAACCAAAGAATAAATATTCAATATTATTGTCATTCTTAGTGTTGAATTGATTTTCTTTTTGCATTAATATTAATTTGATTTTGATTTAAGCTTTATTATAATTATCAACATCTATAGACTATGATCTTTATTGAACCATTCAGAATTCTAAGTTTCAAACTTGAAATAATATATTAAAAGATAAAAAACTATGAAAAAGTATAAGAAATATTTAAAAATTATATCAAAGTAAATATTTTTATGTATAAAATAAAATTTTAAAATTATATATACAACGTCGGGTTGGTTTGGTCTCGGGTTGGTATTTTTTAGTTAAAACCAAACCAACCCAAATATAGTCGATTTTTTTTTTTCAATACCAAACCAAGTCAAACCAACCACTAGTTGGGTTTTTTTTCTCGGTTTAACTCGATTTGCGGTTTAGTTCAGTTTTCGGTTTGATTTTGTACAAACTAATATATGGTTTACTATAAAAGAAAAATAAAAAAACAGCTATTTACTGGTTGCCTATCTGTCTTTCAGAGATTTTGTCCAATTGCTACTAATATACATCTAATTAAACCGCGTTTTAATACTAAACAATAATCTTGATGTCTCTACAAAAATCAAATGTCATTTTCCAACTTATTGCACTTGCTTTATGCCTTCTGGAAAAAGGTCACCCATTGAAACTATAGTATAATGTTATTATCACCTTTAGGTACCATCCACAATAATGTTATCATTTCTGAATTCAATACTATTGAATCTAATTTTTAGCATCGGAAACAACTTTTTTATGTTCTAAAAATAAAGTTAACAAAGATTTACGTATACAACCCTTTTGCGCTGAGCATGTTGTTTTTGTTGAGCTTTGGTTTTACTAGTACTATATGCTGATCTAGATAGCTGCATTTTCTTATTTGATCAAATTATTTAGTCAGCTCTAAAAAGAATGACATATTTTTATGTTTAGTAATAATTTAATTTTATAATATTTATTTTATCTTAATGAAATGATTTATAGTTACACAAACATCCATTAATTATTTTAACCATAAATTTAAAAATTCTTTCTTTCTTTTTTAAACTCTTTAGTGTTAAGTCAAACTATATCATTTAAAATGGTACTAATGGAGTAAAAAGTATTTACAATATGGTATTTCTTATTTGTGTATTTGAAAATTTCATAAACTATATTATCAATATTAATAATTTAAAATATTTAATAAAATACTCCAATATAAAAAATAAAATTACAGCAAAAATTTACGTTTACCTCTAGAAATTCAAACCCATAAAATGACAACAGTCAAATACGCTCAAAATAATTCACACAGACACAAAAGGACAAACATTGAGTTTTTTTTTTTTTGTTTTCTTTTTTTCAGGTTTAATAATAAACCTAACTAGGTAGCTAGTTATAAGCAAATCGTACTACTTGTTAGCTCCTTTGAAACACCAATCTTAAGCTTACTCTCTTTCGCTGTTTCAAAACATTTGTCATCGTTGTGATTATCATTTTCATTGTCTCTTTTAGTGTTAAACAACGATGATGCAGCTGAATCTCTCGAAGAGATCCAGCAACAGTAACGAACATCATCATGATTCTTCTAAGAAATCCAAACTAACCTTTGAGCTCAAACACGCTTTCCACACCGTCAAATCTCAAATCCCTTTAACTCACTGTGTATGGCTTCTTATTACCATATTCCTCCAGATCTTAATCCTCTTCTTCCTCATCCGCTCCTCTCCGCCTCATCCACCGCTGTCCAACTCCCAACAGCTGGTAGCACTCAATCCGGACTGCCAATCCGGTTACGTCTACGTCTACGACCTACCTGCTACTTTCAACACGGAGTTTATTGACAAATGTGAGGAACTAGACCCGTGGAAATCACGCTGTAAAGCGGTTTCCAACGGTGGGTTTGGGCCCAGTGCTACTGGGCTCGAACGCGTTGTACCGGAAGATATCACTCCAGCTTGGTACTGGACTGACATGTATGCTGCTGAGGTTATTTATCATAATAGAATATTGAGCCATAAGTGCAGGATTATGGATCCGGAAAAAGCAACGGGGTTTTATATTCCGTTTTACGCCGGACTTGATATTGGGAGGTTTTTGTGGTTTAATTATACGGCGAAAGATCGAGATCGGAAAGGTGAAATGGTTCTCGATTGGTTGAAAGAGCAGCCGACTTTTACTAGAGCTAACGGAGTAGATCACTTCATTATGCTTGGCCGATTAACTTGGGATTTCCGACGATTAACTGCTAACGATTCGGAATGGGGATCGAGTTTGCTCTACATGCCATTGATGAAGAATGTGTTCCGTTTATCAGTAGAAAAGCATCTAAATGACGATTTAGAAGAAAGCGTACCTTATCCAACAGCTTTTCACCCGAGATCTGAATCCGATATAGTCCAATGGCAGAATTACATCCGGAACTACGACCGTACAAAGCTCTTCTCCTTCGTCGGAGCTAAGCGTGAGAAAATCAAAAACGATTTCCGAGGAGTACTAATGGATTACTGTAAATCCGAAGAAAACTGTCTCGCCGTCGATTGCGCTACCACCGTCTGTTCCGACGGAGCTCCAGCGATTTTGGAATCTTTTCTAGATTCCGAGTTCTGCTTACAGCCACGAGGCGATGGGTTAACTAGACGGTCTACTTTTGACTGTATGTTAGCCGGTTCAATCCCGGTTTATTTCTGGAGAGGAACATTTAAAGGTCAGTATGAATGGCATCTGCCATGGGTGGCGGAGAGTTATACAGTGTTCATCGATCATGATAATGTGAGAGATACAAATGGGAGTATGATTCTGCAAGTTTTGCAAGGGATTCATAAAGATAAGGTGAAGGAAATGAGAGAGACGTTGATTAATCTTCTTCCTAAATTTGTTTACGCAACGCCAGGTAAAGATTTAGGGAGTGTTAAAGATGCATTTGATATCACCATTGATAGAGTATTGAAGAGATTGAAGTCTCGCAGAGATTAGTATTTGAATCGTAAGCATTATTGCCATGCCAGAGGTTCTTCTTCTTCTTCTTTTTTGCAGTTTTTTTTAAAAAAAATTTTGATTGGTGGATAAAAATAGTTAAATTCAGAATGTCGTAATATCTATCTTTATTTTATTTTTGCTTTTGTAAAAAATCTCACTTTTGAAATTTCATAGAGATGTGTATGTACGTCCTATTCTATTCTTCTTGAACAACGAATAAGTTGCTATACTTTTGAAAAATATATAATATAGTATTATATAATTTATTAAATCATTCAATTATAACAAATTAATAAGTTATAATATTTGTTTAGTGTATGATTGAAAATATATTTAAATTTAATTAATTAAGTAGATGGATGTCTATAATTTGGGGACGAAATTAATAATATATGTCAAGTTCAAAGTTAAGTCTCTAAATTTTTACCCATTGATTTTTGTCCAATTGCAATAAACAATCCTATTGACTCACCCGAGATATGATCTAAGATATCAAAAAATAAAATATGACAAAAATTACTCATATGTATTTACATCAAGTTAATGAATTACGTAGGAATTCATTTATAATTAAATTAAAAATTATTGAAAGATTGCTTCACCCACTTTTCCCCATCTTTTTTCAGATTTTAAAAAAATATTTTCTTTATATAGATCATAGCAATAAAAACATTGTGGTCCCATTCTTTGAATTCTTGAAAACGTCAATCAGCCAATGGATTTGCAGATCTAGTCTATGGTTCAGAAATCACAATAGATTTTAATCTACTCTATATTAATACGTAACTACTTATATCAAAGACTTTATTGAACTAATCATGTGTTTACAAATATATACACATAGTTAATTTAAATGATTTTTAAATTTAATTTAATAATGGAAAGTTATATTATAAATCGTAATTTTTTTATATGACTTTGGATTGTCGATAAAATATACCTTAAAACTGATCAAAATTAATATAGTTTAACTCTAAAAAATAAAACATAACAAGTATTATTAGTTAGAGGTAGTGTATATTATTTCATGCAGTTGTGTCACTTAATTATGTGTTTTATCTATATTAGCATCTTCTCCCTAACTCTCCTCTTCCATTGTTACTCAACCCAAGCAAACTCTCCTATAAAATTTTAGGCATGTTAGACCTTCCCTATGTTGAATTTTGTGTACTTTTTTACACATTTTCTCATCCACCAAGAGGGGCACAACCACTGAAAAGAAGAATAAAACAAAATAAATAAAAGAAAAATTGTTCAAAATTATAAGGAAAGTATTCAATTATATTGGTCTTATATATTTTTCATATGTTTGTTTTTAAGTATGGTATATGATAGATAGATAAAGTTATCCCATTATATGTATGAAATAATTTATTCGATTGTTGTAGTATATATGATGGGATAATAATCTCGGGATTAACTATAATGTTTCTAATCAAAATATGTTAATTTATAAGTATGATATATGATAGAATAGATAAAGTTATCCCATCATATGTATGAGATAATTTATTCAATTATTGTAGTATATATGCTTGGATAATAATTTTGGGATTAACTATAATACTTCTAACCAAATATATACATGGCAATTCTGTGTCCTACGTGGCATCCTACTTGTTTTATGCCATGTAGGACATGTGTGTCTACTTGTTCAATTTTATATAAATTTAAGTGTCTATTTGTATACGCTCAAAGTCAGAGACGGACCCACATGGACTTGTCCAGCTTCTTTCTAACGTTATTTTTACTCTTTTTTTTTCCTTTCATAAACTATCTTTTTTGCTAACTTTTTAAAAACAAAATCTTGTACAAAATTCCTTTTTCCTTTTTCAAGATAATTATTATCCTAGCTTTTTTTTTAATTGATCTTTTTTCGCTATCATAATTAAATATAGTTGTCTTTCTTATGACAAGTATTGAATTTGTACATTTATTTTTTATGATTGATAGCTTAAAAAATAACCACGATCTTAAAATCTTGAATTGGTCACTGCTCATGTCTATTATGCAACTTAGTCTCTCGAAAATATAAACAATCGTGATCTTTTATGTCTATTAACTTTTTCTTTCTCATCAGTCTAATTAGGAAAAATGAAAAGGGAAGGAAAAAATAATTTGTTCTAACGCCTTCATTTTAGTTCCAATTCAAAAGCAAAAAAATTCTCCCTCTCGTTGGTTTGCCTTTTCGGTAATTACGATTGTATGTGAAGGTACATTGTTCCTCCTTTTTTTCTTGAATCAATCCAAATATTTCGATTGGCTATTGCATTGAATTGAAGAAAAAGCGCCCTTGTTGAGGATTTTAGCTCGCAATTATGCTCTTTGATTGATACAAATTTATGTTAAAAATAGTGAGCACCCATAGCTGTAAAATTCTGGATCCGCCACTACTTAAAGTTGGAAGACATAGTTATCCGTTGAAGACAAATTAATGATCATATTTATGTATTATGTCTTTACAATTTGTGTTGGGCCACAATAGGGGAGTGATAATACTATGAAGATCCCACATGACATTAAATTAAATTAAAATAAAATAAAAAAGGAAACAAGATTATACCAAATTATAATTTTATTGAAAGATAATGCTAACACGTTGTAGTTAAAGCGACCCATGCTTCGGCTTGTATTTGTGCGTTTAATTTCGTTTAATAAATTTCGCTTAAACGTTTGAAGTGTAATTTCTTCCAATTAAGGACAAAACACATAAAGTGTTTTTATATGATATTTTCGATTCAAATTTTGAAAATACTTTTGTATGTGTTCTCATGTATATATTAGATAGCTAAGTTAATCATACATAAAATATGTCATCTTCTTTTATATATATATATATATATATACTAGTAAAGAGAGCCCGGGCGCTGCCCGGACCCAACATTAATAAAGTTATATTGTTACTCTCTCCGTCCCATATTAGATGAGAATCTTACTAAAAAAAAAAAATTCATATTATTTGAGCACTTATTAAATTAGGATAGAATTAATTAATTCTTTTCCATTTTACCCTACAATTAATATGACCATTCCTATATTGTATGTGTATTTTTTGTAACTCATTTCAATGTGCATTGATATAAACAAAGGGTAAAATGGTGAAGTCTTCCAATGTATTAATGATTTCTTAATCACCGTGTAAAGTTGGAAGTGCCCATCTAATATGGGACGGAGAGAGTATAGTTTATGTATTGTTATAAAATTAGTAAAAATTGTTATAATATATTTTGCTCATAAGTGAGCTAATATAAAAACTTATTTGTCATTTGTCTTTTTAATTTCAATTTCAAATAGCAAATAAATGTACCGATAAGATTGAGGGTAGAAATGAAACATATCTTTCTAAATTTAAGTAAAAATAAACAGAGTAGAAGTAACATTAGGGTTATCGATAGGACGATTCATTCGGTTATTTTTAAAAAAATTATATCATTCAATTTTTCGGCTATTTTATAATGTATAACCAAAATTAAAATTTTAAAATCATCCCTATCCTAATTTATGTGACACAAGCAGTACAAAAATTAGTCTTTTTTTTGTTGTCTTGTAGATATTTTAAGTTATTATTTATTGTAAATTATAGTACTTTTTATTAAAGTTTTTAATAACATATGTTACTTTTTATGTTTGAGAGTTAAACCAAATTTTTTTTATATGTCTTTTAATTTCATATGTGTTTTGTCCTTTTCCATTTTCAAAAACTAATACTCTGTCAATTTCATTTTATATGTCATTTCTTTTTATAAATATATTGGTTATTCCCTCTTCTTATGTCATATATTATGAAATTTGAGAAGTTATTGAAATTTTTATATGATTCTAAAAATATTTTAAATTGTTAGCTATTGTGATTTGTAGTACCTTTTTTTTACAGAATTTTGAAAATAATATTTATTACTCTCTTTGTTCTAATTTATGTGGCACATGCAAAATTTCAAATATTAACCATTTTTTATATGTCTCTTAACTATATTAAGTTGTTAATTGTTGTATTTTATAGTACATTTTGAACTTAATTTTTAAAGAATATATGTTATTTTCCATGTCCCAATTTATGTGGCATTAATTGATAGATTTGTTGGAGTCGAGAGAATTTTTTTGTTAATTATTGTAATTTATAGTTTCTTTTTCGTCAATTTGAAACAATATATGTTCTTAATTGATAGATTTTTTGGAGCCGACAATTTTTTTTGTTAATTATTGTAATTTATAGTTTATTTTTCGTCAATTTCAAACAATATATGTTACTCCATTTGTCCCAATTTATGTGACACATGTGAAATTTTGAGAGTTAATATGTTTTTCAAATATTGTAAGTTGTTAACTATTGTGGTTTATGGTATTCCTAATGTAATTTTTCAAATAATATATGTTATTCCCTTCGTCTTAATTATACAATTCGCGTAAAATTTTGAGAGTTAATCGAATTTGTAATATTTTAAATTTATTTTTTAGTACTATTTAAAAAGGAAAAAATTAAAATATTACTATATAAGAAGAGTAGTAATTATATAGTAATTTTTCAAATAATATATGTTATTCCCTTCGTCTTAATAATAGAATTCGCGTAAAATTTTGAGAGTTAATCGAATTTGTGATATTTTAAATTTATTTTTTAGTACTATTTAAAAAGGAAAAAATTAAAATATAATGAAAGAGGAGTGTATAAAAGTAGGTGGGCCATCTTTGTGATAGGTGGGCCATCTTCAAAAACCAAATATAAAAGTAGGTGGGCTATCTTGGTACCACGTGTCGAAAGAAGAGTGAATTTTATTCACTCTTCTTATATAGTAATATATATCAATCTCATTTAAAACAAATTTGAGGTTTTATGATTCATTGAGATCAATGCGTATAATTAAAGGAAGTAACATATTTTAAATAGTTAATTTATTTATGTAACATTTACTTGAAACTATGGTCTACTCAGATGATAAACACATCAACCTTCATTCCTAAGGTTGTGGATTCGAGTTATCGAGGAAACAAAAAGGTGGGAATTACTCCTAGAGAGGGGTTAAAAAAAAA